ATGAATACTACTGCCAAGTTAAAACCCAATCTAATGAGCAAAGAACATCCCACAGGCTTCATCAATTTCTTCTCTCTTGTGTCTTTTCTTTGATTGAACTCAAATTGCCTTACAAATTGGTACCTCATCATTCAGTTTGCACTCATTTATTGTTGGTTTATTTAAGGGGACATACTAAGGAGAGAAAATGTTTGTGTGTGTTGGGGGAACCTCCCGAATTCAGATGTGATCTTCTTTTCATGTTCTATCTCAAAATATCTCCTTCCAAAACTTTTATTACATGTTCCTCAACTGTCCTTTTGAATCATTTGTGAGAATTTCTGAAATTTACCAAGTCTTCATTTTCCTGATGTTTCTCCAATGACTTTATAGTTTAAAAAAAGGAGTCTGCCTTCACTTTTATTAAGAGTGGCATATTATGTGAAAATCTGCCATAAAAACTGTGAGATCAATGCACTGAAGGACCCCTTTATCCCAAGCAATATGTAAATCAAGGCACAATTTCCCCTTTAAAGGAGCTGCTTGGTTTCCCTTTTCAGGCTACACCCAACAACACAAACTTTGTGCACTTTCCTGAATTCTTTCCTCTCAATTCCCTCCATTCATTACAGAGAGCAAAAATGATCCCATGGCTGAATTTGGTGCCCTTGTTGGTGTTCCTTCAAGGTATTTTTTCCCCGCTTTAAAGAATTTCCATCCATAATCTCTTTTTCTATATTGAAGATTTCATTGAAACGCTTTTGTTTTTAGGAGTCCAGTCTCAAGTGCAGTTGGTGGAGTCTGGAGGGGATGTGAGAAGACCTGGGGAGTCCCTCCGTCTCTTCTGCCAAGCCTCTGGATTCACCTTCAGCAGCTATATGATGAGCTGGGTGAGACAGGCTCCAGGGAAAGGCCTGGAATGGGTGGCCTACATACATACACGTTCCACTCCAATTAACTACTCAGACAAAGTCAAGGGACGCTTCACCATCTCCAGGGACGATGCCAAAAGCCAGATGTATCTGCAAATGAACAGCCTCAAACTGGAGGATACTGCAATTTATTACTGTGCAACAGACACAGTGAGAGGAAGTGAATCTGATGCCAAGCAAAAACCTCCTCTTCCTCTGAGCACCTTTCCAAATTGAATGAGAAACTTGCATTTGTGTATTTAAAGTGCAAAGCAATAGATAAATCTCCATATACAATATGGAACCTCAGATCTGAGCTTTTAAAAAGCAGTGTGGAAGATGATTGACATTTTCATAGGTGAGAAGAAGGAACTCTCCAGGTGGTGGAACAAACTGGGTAATTTGTAAAATGAGACTTCTTATCTAATCCTAATGTAATCCAAACTCACCTAATGGAAACAAATCATTAGTGTTGAAGAAAAGAATGATTATCCTAGAAAACGATTATAAAAGTGGTACAGAACAGATTTTGATAAACGAAGTAGCAAAAGCACTTCATGGTACATTACAGACCTCTTTGACTTGTTTAGAGAGTCAGCATATTGCCCCCAACAATCTTGGTCCTCACTTTACCAACCTCAGAAGGATGGAAGACTAGGTTAACTTTGAGCCAGTCAGGATCGAACTCCTGGCAGTCTGCAGAGTCAGCCTGCAATGCTGTATTCTAACCACTGCACCACCAGGGAAATGCCCATGCAACCCTCATTGCATAGAGTAATATGAGACATGTCTGACTTAGCAGCAGATGTGCTTTGAGAAATATAGAGGAAAGTAAATTATTTGTAGAATATAAAGTGATTTATTTGTAGAAATAATTATTTTTTTCTAGATGAATATCTTCTCTGTCTTTCTTTTCCCTCATTCAAACTCTGACTTACCAATTGTGCCTCATCAAGCATTGGGGTTTTGGGGTCCTTTTCAAAAGGCCATGGAAATGGGAGAAAATGTGGAGGGCTTTTACTGAAGATAGATGTGCTCTTCCCTTCAGGTTCTCTCTGCAACGTAGCCCTCTCAAAAAGTATAATTGCATGTTCCTTGCCTCTCCCTTTGAATCACTTTCAGGAAGCAATCTTTCTTTTAATTATTCCAATATAAACCTGCCATTTCTGCTATGATTTTACAGTAAAAAATATTGAAAGAGACTTCCTTCACTTTTATTAAGACTGGAATCTTTTGTGAAAGTCCCCCATATATGGAGACTAGAAGGAAAAAAGTGAGATGAATGCACTGAGGGGCACTTTTATCTTAAGCAATATGTAAATGAAGGCAAAATTTCCCCTTTAAAGGATCCACTTGATTTCTCTCTTCAGGCTACACCCACCCACACGAAGTTTGTGCACTTTCCTGAATTCTTTTCTCTCAATTTCCTTGATTCATTACAGGGAGCGAAAATGATCCCATGGCTGAATTTGGCATCCTTGTTGATGCTCCTTCAAGGTAGTTTTTCCCCTCTTTAAAAATTAACTTAATTTTTTTTCTTTTTCTATATAGAAGATTTGATGGAAACGCTTTTGTTTTTAGGAGTTCAATCTCAAGTACAGCTGGTGGAGTCTGGAGGGGATGTGAGAAGACCTGGAGGGTCCCTCCGTCTCTCCTGCCAAGCCTCCGGATTCACCTTCAGTAGCTATGTGATGAACTGGGTGAGACAGGCTCCAGGGAAAGGCCTGGAATGGGTGGCCTTCATACATACAGGTTCCACTTCAATTTACTACCCAGACAAAGTCAAGGGACGCTTCACCATCTCCAGGGACGATGCCAAAAGCCAGCTGTATCTGCAAATGAACAACCTCAAACTGGAGGACACAGCTGTCTATTACTGTGCCAGACGCACAGTGAGAGGAAGTGAATCTGATGCCAAGCAAAAACCTCCTCTTCCTCTGAGCAGATTTCCAAATTGAATGAGAAAGTTTAATCTGTGTATTTAAAGTGAGAAACGGAAGATAAATCTCCATATACAATATGGAACCTCAGATCTGACCTTCTAAGAAGGATAATCTTTCTAAATAATCAAACTGCCATATAGATATTGAGGTAATATTAAGGAAGATGACTCCCCTCCTCACTTTGGACACTAGGGGGCAGCATTGTCACATGAAACTCTATGGCATCTGCACTGGGTGGGGGATGGGATAGGGAATAAAAGAAGTGTCATTAGATATAGTCTCATTTCTGGGACATGATTTTTTTTTATTGTTTCCATAATAGTTCACTGAAAGCTCTGAGGAAAATTTCACATCTAAGGAGGTTATAATCCTCACCTGAAAGCTCGGAATTTTTGATAAAATGATCAGAGTTTGTATCTATAGGAAGTTTCTAGAATGTATAAAGGTGCTACAGACCTTTGCTGAAAATGAAAAGTACATGAAGGAACATATTATCATGTACACGCACACATACACACGCTGAGAGAGTGTATATTCCTCATTGTGAAGCCATGTCTGAGTTGACAATTAAATATGAGCCAACAGTGTGTGGCGGCAGCCAAAAAAGCCAATTGCAATCCTTAATTGCATTAACAGAGGGCTTCAATCAAGATCACGTGAGGTACTAATATCGCTCTATAACGCCTTAGTAAGACCACACCTAGAATATTGAATCTGGTTTTGGTTACCACACTGAAAAAAAGATGTTGAGAATCTAAAAAAAGTGCAGAGAAGATCAAGAAAGACGCTTAGGGTATTGGAGACTAAAACATGTGAAGAACGGTTGCAGGAACTGGGCATGGCTATTCTAGTGAAAAGGCGGACCAGGGGAGACCTGATAGCAGTCTTCCAACGCTTGGGGGGCTGTAACAGAGAGGAGGTGGTCAACCTATTTTCCAAAGCACCTGAAGGCCAGATCCGGAATTATGGATGGAAACTGAACAAGGAGAGATTCAACCTAGAAATAAAGAGAAAGTTCCTGACAGTGAGAACAATCAGCCAATGGAACAGCTGCAGAAGTTGTGGGAGCTTTATCACTGGAGGCTTTCAAGAAGGGACTGGACTGCCATCTGTCAGAAACGGTGTAGGGTCTCCTGCTTGGGTGGAGGGTTGAAGAAGATTACCTACAAGGTGCCTTCCAACTCTGTTAATCCTTTAGTGCTTAATGTAGTGGAAACAGAATTATTTGTAGAATACAGTCTGGGACTGGTAAAAACTTAACACTTCAAGTCCTAAGCAAGGAGTTAAGAGCAGTTAAAGCAGCATCTGAATATGTAGGCAATTAATATTGGTCCAACCATTGATTTCTTCCTTCATAATTGCTTAACTTCAAGTTGCAAATCAGGATTGTTTTTTCTAGGTATTTCTCCTCAATTTATGGATCACCTGGTATTGCAGTATTAATGAACCAGACTTTCCCCCATCCACAATTGTGATATCAGGCATGTTGTGGGCCAGAAATCTCTCTGTACTGCTATTATTTAATTTTTTTATCCATCTTGGTGAATCAACTCTTGGCAACGAATAACTGATCAAACCACCAAACAATAGCAACCCCAAATAAGCAATATAGAAAATGAATTCAATCACTGAATTAAATCCCAATCTAATAACCGAGGAACATCCCAAAGGCTTCATCAATTCTTTCTCTCTTGTGACTTTTCTTTGATTCAACTCAAATTGTCTTACAAATTGGTGCCTCATCATTTGGTTTGCACTCTTTTGGGGACATACTAAGGAGAGAAAATCTGTGGGGGGGGGGGAACCTCCCGAATTCAGATGTGATCTTCTTTTCATGTTCTATCTCAAAATATCTCCTTCCAAAACTTTTATTGTACGTTCCTCACCTGTCCTTCTGAATCATTTCTGAGAATTTCTGAAATTTAGCAAGTCTTCGTTTTTCTTAATTACTCTAATATAAACCCGGTTTTTCGCCAATGACTTTATAGTTTAAAGAAGAGGAGTCTGCCTTCACTTTTATTAAGAGTGGCATGTTCTGTGAAAATAAGACATATAAAAGGTGAACTGTTAGATTAATGCATTTAGGGGTCCTTTTATCCCAAGCGATATGTAAATGAAGGCAAAATTTCCCCTTTAAAGGAGCCGCTTGGTTTCCCATTTCAGGCTACACACACCCACTTTGGTTTCCAGAAACACAAAGTTTCTGAATTCTTTCCTCTGAATTCCCTCCATTCATTGCAGGAAGCTAAAATGATCCCATGGCTGAATTTGGTGCCCTTGTTAGTGTTCCTTCAAGGTATTTTTTCCCTCTTGAAAGAATATCCTTTCATATTTTCTTTTTGTAAATAGAAGGTTTCATTGAAACTCTTTTGTTTTTAGGAGTGCAATCTCAAGTACAATTGGTGGAGTCTGGAGGGGATGTGAGAAGACCTGGAGGGTCCCTCCGTCTCTCCTGCCAAGCCTCTGGATTCACCTTCAGCAGCTACTGGATGCACTGGGTGAGACAGGCTCCAGGGAAAGGCCTGGAATGGGTGGCCTACATACGTATAGGCTCATCTCCTTCCACTTACTACTCTGACACAGTCAAGGGACGCTTCACCATCTCCAGGGACGATGCCAAAAGCCAGCTGTATCTGCAAATGAACAGCCTCAAACTGGAGGATACTGCAATTTATTTCTGTACAAGAGACACAGTGAGAGGAAGTGAATCTGATGCCAAGCAAAAACCTTCTCTTCCTCTGAGCAGCTTTCCAAATTGAATCAAAAAATTGATTTGGCATATTGAAAGAGAAAAGCGGAATATAAATCTTTTTTTCCAAGTTTTTTATTTTATTTTACAATATATCCATATCAATGCGTGAACAGTGTGGCATCTGGGTATCATACATTTTAGTAGAAATACAAATAGTGCTATTAATCATATTTGTTACATTCCTCAAGTTTATGTAGTTCTAGTATTAATATACATATTTGTATTAAATTATAGACTTTCATTATTTAATTGTTCAGTGTTTTAATACATTACTTCTATGCCAATCACAATATTGTTTAAACATACATAATAATACCATCATTCTGTTTCTAATCTTCCCTCTTATTATTACTTTTATCTTTTTGTATAAAAATGTGTATACTAATATTCCCCATCTCTCTTCTATCCCTATTCTAACTTTTAATCATGCCACCATTATATTTAAGAACAAGTCCTTTCTATCTGTCATCTCTTGCCTGCTTTAAAGCTTTAATTGTTCATTTTTTAAACTTTCCTCCAATATTCCTCTCTTGGATCTTTATCCCTATCTACATATACATTTTAGTAAAAATAAAAATAGTGATATTGATCATATTTGTTACATTCCTCAGGCTTATGCAGTTCTAGTGTTAATACACATCATTGTATTAAATTATAAACTTTCATAATTTAATTGTTCAATGTTTCAATACGTTATTCCAATGCCAATCACAATATTGTTTAAAAATACATAATAATACCATCATTCAGTTTCTAATCTTCCCTCTTATTATTACTTTTATCTTATTGTTCAAAAATGTGTATACTAATATTCCCCATCTCTCTTATTTCTATCCCTTCTCTAACTTTTAATCATTCCACCATTACATTTAAGAACAAGTCCTTTCTATCCATCAACTCTTACCCATTTTAAAGCTTTAATAGTTTGTTTTTTAGCTTGCCTCCCATATTCCTCTCTTGGATCTTTTTTTTTTTTATTATTGCAAAAGTTTTACAATTACATTTTCACCCCTTTTTTCACCCCCCCACCTCCCTCCCCAAACTTCCCATCCTCCCTAACCCTCCCTAACCCTCCCCCCCAGACTTCCCTATTATGTACTCATAACTAATAACACTGATATATAAGCTTGAACCCATCCCTCCCCCTGTATAATTTTTCCACTTTGTCTCTTTAAAATATTTCTAATACATTATTTTCAAATAAAGCTATTTGATACTTTCTAGTTTGGTATTTGTTCTGAACATATTCTATCCACCTTTTCCATTCCCATTCATAAGTCTCTTGTGAACAGTCTTTTAAATATGCTGAAATCTTCGCCATCTCTGCAAAACTAGCCATCTTCAAGGTCCATTCCTCGATAGTGGGCAAAGCTTCATTCTTCCAATATTTACCTATCAACAATCTTGCTGCTGTTATCATATACAATATCAATTTTATTTCACCCCGTGTAAAACCCTTAACTATACCCAATAAAAACAACTGTGGAGAAAATTGAATTTTTTTCCTCAAAACATTCTGCATGACCCACCAAATTTTTATCCAAAAAGCCTTAACTTTCCTGCAGGTCCACCAAACATGATAATACGTAGCATCTAAACATTCACATCTCCAACATTTTGGCTGAACATTAGGGTACATACATGACAACTTTTTAGGATCTAAATGCCATCTATAAAACATTTTATAAAAATTTTCTCTCAGGTTTTGCGACTGTGTAAATTTAACATTCTGTACCCAAATTTTTTCCCAAGTTTCCAGCATCACTGGTTCTTCAAAATTCTGTGCCCACTTAATCATACAATCTTTAACTAATTCCGTTTCTGAATCTCTTTCTAACAAAACATTATAAAGCCTTTTAATATGCATTGGACCTTTCTCTCTTATATGTCTAACCAATTCTTCCTCATGCAACATAATACCAGTTTTTTGATCCTCTTTCCATCTCAGTTGTAATTGATTATATTGTAACCAAGTTAAATTAAACCCTTCATCCAACAGTGTCTGTAATGTCTTCAGCTGCCATCTGCCCACATCTGTAAAAAGAACCTCTTTATATAAAAACCCCCCGAGTGACATTATATTTGTATTCCACAAAGTATGACCAAGATCCAGCCATAGCGGTATTTTATAATCCCATTTGAGTCGGTGCTTCTTCCAAACTCTCATCAAAGAGTCTCTAAGTATATGACTTTTAAATACTTTATCTACTTTGTCGTCATAAAATAAATAAGCATGCCATCCAAATTCAAGATCAAAACTTTCTGCATTCAATATTCCAGTCTTTTTACTTCCAAACCAATCACTTGTTAAAGTTAAAGCTGCTGCATCATAATATAACTGTAGGTTTGGGAGTTTAAGGCCTCCTCTTTCTGGAACATCTTGCATAATTTTCAATTTCACTCTCGGCTTCTTCTCGTTCCAGACAAACTTATTCACACCAGACTGCCAAACTTTCAGTTGTTTATCACTTTTAAGCACCGGAATCATTTGAAACAAAAACAGAAATCTTGGCAAAATATTCATCTTAACTGCTGCTATTCTTCCAAGTAAAGACAGTTGCAGCTTTTTCCAAGTCTCCATATCTTTCTGAACCTCTCGCCACAACACCTCATAATTATTTTGAAACAATTTCATGTTTGATTCTGCAACCTGAACTCCAAGATATTTTACCTTAGGTACAATTTCAAAACCTGCCCTCCTTTCAAGCTCATGTGTACGATCTTGTGTCATATTTTTAACTATCATTTTAGTCTTTTTTGAATTCAGTCTAAAACCTGAAACTCTACCATAGTCTTGTATAATGTCCTTCATCAGGATTGTTGATTCCATTGGTTGTGATAGGGTAACAACCAGACCATCTGCAAATGCCTTTATTCTATAATCCTCTTGCCTTATCATTATGCCTTTCAAAATTTTAGAGTCCCGTATTGTATTTAGCAAGACTTCCAATGTTAGAATAAATAAAAGTGGGGACAACGGACATCCCTGTCTTGTTCCTTTTTCAATTTTAAACTCTGTCGTCAGACTTCCATTAATAATAATCTGTGCCTTTTGCTCTTGATAAATTGCTGAAATCGCCTGTATAAATTGGTCCCCAAAGTCCATCTTTTTTAAAGTCTTTAGTAGAAAATTCCAATCCACTCTATCAAAGGCCTTCTCTGCATCCAAAAAAACCAGCACTGCAGGAATCTGTTTATTCTTATCAAGATATTCCAATAAATCTATTACTTGCCTTACATTGTCCTTCATATATCTGCCCTCAATAAATCCCGCTTGATCCTCATGAATCACCTTTTGAATTACTGGCATCAACCTGTTGGCTAATACTTTCGCATAGATTTTATAGTCTGTATTCAAAAGAGATATTGGTCTATAATTCTCTGGTTTTTTAGGACCAACTTGTTCTTTTGGTATCAAAGATATATAAGCAGTTGTCCATGATGGGGGTATTTTACCCCCTTGTTGAATATTGCAAAATAAATCTCTAAGTTGTCCCACCATTTCAGCTTGTAAAGTTTTGTAATACACTGCGGTCAAACCATCCGTGCCAGGAGCTTTGGCTGTTTTTAACTGTTTAATTGCTGCTATTATCTCCTCCTCTGTTATAGGATAATTCATTCTTTCCTTTTGTTGATCAGTAATTTTTGTAACTCTCTTATCGTTTAAATATTTTTCTATAAATCCATTCTGCACCTCCTCTTTGGCATATAGTTTGGTATAATAGTCCACAAAAGCTTCTTTAATTAATTTTTGTTGAAAAATTTCTTTCCCTCCAATATCAATACTATCAATAGTCCATATACTTTGTTTTTTCCTCAATGTGTAAGCCAACCATCTGCCCGGTTTGTTAGCGTTGCAAAATGTATTATGCTTCGCATATTGTAAGTTTGTTGCAACTTGTTCCGCCATAAGCATTTGAAATTGGTCTTTCAAAAGTTTTATAGCACTTCGTATTCTTTCATCTGTTGGGTTTTTAATAAGTAACTGTTCTTTCTTCTTTATTTCCGTTTCCAATTCAGATCTTTTCTTTTGTCGGAACAGTCTATGTTTAGAGTTCATGTAGATAAGTACCCCTCTCATATAAGCTTTACTTGCGTCCCAAACAATTTCAATTGGGGTACCTTTATTCAAATTTATTTCAAAAAATTCTTTCAAATGCTTTTTAAGTTCTATTGTATTTTTTTCATATCTAAACAAGTTCTCATTTAATCTCCAAGAACGTCTCTCAACCTTATCCATCTCAATTTCTATCCATACAGGGCTATGGTCAGTCAAAGTTCTTGGAAAAATCTTTGTTCTTTTTGTCTTAACAAGTAGATCATTTGACAACAGGATAAAATCAATCCTAGAAAAGGATCTATGTCTATCAGAAAAGAAAGTGTAATCCAATTCTTTTGGGTTATGTATTCTCCAAACATCTTTTAGTTCCATATCTTCTTTCATATCAAAAAAAGTCTGTGGTAGTCTAATTCTAGACTTTGCCAAACTCTTTTTATCTAGTTTAGAATCAATTACTCTGTTCCAGTCTCCCATAATTAAAATAGATCTATAGTCCCATTGCAATATTTTAGTATGTAACATCTTATAAAAATAGTCCTGTTGTTGATTGGGAGCATAAATTCCAATCAAAAGAATTTGGCCATTTGCTGTAAACAATTCAATTGCTACAAACCTACCATCTTGATCTGCTTCTATAACTTTAGCTGTTAACTTTTTATTTACATAAATAACCACACCATTCTTTTTCTGCGAAGTTGAAGATATAAAATGTGCTCCTAGTTTTGAGTTTATCAAATATTTTTGATCTTGAGTTGTAATATGCGTTTCTTGTAAACATATTATATCATTATTAAATTGTTTCAAATATGTAAATAGTTTCTTCCTTTTCTGTGCTGAATTCAACCCATTGACATTCCAGGATAAACACTTAAAGGTCATCAGCCTCTTTCTGGAGCACAGAGCAATATGCTTGAAGTTCATCCGAGAGCTTCGATCTCGCTCCTCCCATAGCTCCACTCTCTTGTACAGTACTCTTAACTGCCTTCTTGTCTTGTCTTTCCTGTTGTTGTTGTTGCTTTTGTTTAAGTAGCTTAGATTGAGCTCTAGTTATACGTTGATCTTTAACTTCAGTCAACTGAATCAAGTCCAAAATTGGAGAAGAATCAAACAGGGGCTCACTCAAAAAACCTCCTTCTGCACCTTGCACTACTTCTAATTCCTGCTTGGACTGTTCTTGCAATTGCCTCTCTTCACTCTCTTTAATCTCCAAAACTGTGGATGTACGTGGAGATGGTGTTCTTTCCTTAAGAATAGTAGTGTAAAAGTGTTGTGCCTTCTCCACGGTATTCAACCGATATCCTTCTCCCTTATATCTAAAAATTATCCCAGCTGGTGCATCCCACCGGAAGGGTATCTGTAAATTTTTCAATTCCTTAACAAGAAAACCAAATTCTTTTCTGGCTTTCAACATTTTAGGAGGTAATTCTTTAAAGATTTCAAGTCGTGAACCCCCCACTTGTACAGAAGTATGAAATTTTTTTTGCAGGATATCATTTCTAATTTCTCTATCTGTAAAGTATATGACCACATCTCTAGGCAGTTGTCTTTGTCTGGCCACCCAAGAGTTCACTCTGTAAATTTTATCTATTTTGTGAAATACCACATCAGGATTAACTTGTAGAATCTTGGCCAAGGCTTCAGAACAAACTTGTCTCAAATCCTGTCTCTCCCCCTCTCGAATTCCCCGAAGCCGTATGGCGAATTCCATCGCCCGGAATTGTATCATAACAATCTCATCTTCAATTCTCTGCATTTTATTGTCAACTTCATCAATTTTATAATCATTGTCTTTCATCTTGACATTAACTTCTGATTTAAATTCTTCAACTTTAAAATCAACTTTCCCAATAAATTCTGCCAGGCCAGACGCCACTTCTGATATTTTTTTGGTCACCTTATTTTGATTCTGTTTCACCATATCTTTAACTTCATTAATTTCCTGCATAAATTCCTGATGTGATTTTTGAAGTTTATCATCTATTTCCTGTTGAGATTTTAGAAATTTATCATCCAGAGTTTTAGAAATAAATTGTTTTAAGTCTCCCACATCAAATTCTTTTTTCTGGGTCTGTAACTGCTGTGCAGAGGGAAGCTGCGTTTCTTGTTTATGTATGGGGGATCCCCCCCCCTGTTGCCTTCCCTTCCTGCTTCTTTGAAGCCATCGTGCCACGTAAGCTAGTTTTTCTGAAGAGGGAAGTTCTTTTTCCTTTCCCTCTTCCACAGAAACTTCTAAAAAAGTCCCCCAGATTTAATCAAGTGAAACTGAAGTAAAGCAAAGTCAAATTTTAGAAAAAGAAATTTTTTCTTTTTAGATAGAGCAACTTTGTAGCAGCTTTATAACTTTGTAGCAAAGCAGGAAGGCTTCACAAATCCACTTTCACTAGCTCGTTAACTCAAATGCTGGACGCCATATTTTTTCAAATCACTTTCACTCGCTCACTTTCTCTTTTGATTTAAAAAGTCAACAAAGCACTAATACTTGCAATTTTCAAGTTTCTGGATTCAAGTTGATATTTCCGCTGTTTGTTAGGGTTAGTTCCTTTCACTTTAAAAGTTTGCTGCTGCCGGCTTGTTCTGCTGAAGGCAGAATCGTCCCACGCCGCCCGGAGTCTCCGCAGGTTGGGAGGGAGCCGCGCCTGTTTTCACCCCCAGAAGCAATTCCCTGGGGGGGGGTTACAGGGGCTCAACCTGTGCCCTGCTGTCTCTGCTCCTACAATCTTCAAGATTTCGGAGTTTTCGAGCCGCTCCTCGTTCGCGGGGCGGCTCTACAGGCGGCGGGGCTGGCGGTCTTTAAAAAATCACCGCCGTCGCCGAAGCTTGCAAACCGGAAGTTCAGGATTTGGGGTCCTTTTCAAAAGGCCATGGAAAGGGGAGAAAATGTGGAGGGCTTTAACTGAATATAGATGTGCTCTTCCCTTCATGTTCTCTCTCCAATGTAGCCCTTTCAAAAAGTATAATTGCATGTTCCTTGCCTGTCCCTTTCAATCACTTTGGGGAAGCAGTGAAATTTTGCAACTCTTTCTTTTAATTATTCCAATATAAACCTGCCATTTCCGCTATGAATTTACAGTAAAAAATATCGAAAGAGACTGCCTCCACTTTTATTAAAACTGGAATCTTTTGAGAAAGTCGCCCATGTATGGAGACTAGAAGGAAAAATGTGAGATTAATGCCCTGAGGGGCACTTTTATCTGAAGAGATATGTAAATGAAGGCACAATTTCCCTTTAAAGGATCCACTTGATTTCTCTTTTCAGGCTACACCCACCCACACCAAGTATCTGCACTTTCCTGAATTCTTTCCTCTCAATTTCCTTGATTCCTTATAGGGAGCAAAAATGACCCCATGGATGAATTTGGTGCCCTTGTTGATGCTCCTTCAAGGTAGTTTCCCCCCTCTTTAAACAATTAACTTCATTTTTTTTTCTTTTTGTATATAGAAGATTTGATCGAAACACATTTTTTTTAGGTGTCCAATCTGAGGTTCAATTGGTGGAGTCTGGAGGGGATGTGAGAAGACGTGAGGAGTCCCTCCGTCTCACCTGCCAAGCCTCTGGATTCACCTTCAGCAGCTATGGAATGCACTGGGTGAGACAGGCTCCTGGGAAAGGCTTGGAATGGATGACAACCTAGGTACAGGATCATCTCCTTCCATTTACTACTCTGACAAAGTCAAGGGACGCTTCACCATCTCCAGGGATGATGCCAAAAGCCAGCTGTATCTGCAAATGAATAGCCTCAAACTGGAAGATACTGCAATTTATTTCTGTACAAGAGACACAGTGAGAGGAAGTGAATCTGATGCCAAGCAAAAACCTTCTCTTCCTCTGAGCAGCTTTCCAAATTGAATGAGAAAGTTGAATCTGTGTATTTAAAGTGAGAAGAGGAACATAAATCTCCATATACAATTTGGAACCTCAGATCTGACCTTCTAAGAAGCAGTGTGGAAGATGGTTGACATTTTGATAGGTGAGAAGAAGGAACTCTCCAGGCTGTGGAACAAACTGGGTAGTTTGTAAAAAAAAAAAAAAAAAAGACTTCTTATTGTTAATCTGTTTTAGATTAACTGGAATTCAAACTATAATCATGGTAGAAAATAGGAAATGAAACTAGGATAATCTTTCTAAATAACCGAACTACCATATAGATATTGAGGAAATATTAAGGAAGATGACTCCCCTCTTCACTTTGGACACCAGGGGGCAGTGTTGTCACATAAAACTCCATGGCCTCTGCACTGGGTGGGGGATGGGATAGAGAATAAAGGAAGTGTCATTATATATAGTCTCATTTCTCAGACATTTTTTTTATTTATTATTGTTTCCACAATAGTTCACTGAAAGCTCTGAGGAAAATTTCACAGGTTATAATCCTCACCTTAAAGCTCAGAATTCTTGATAAAATGATGTATCATCAGTGTTTATATCCAGAGGAAGTTTCTAGAATGTATAAAGGTGCTTCAAACCTTTGCTGAAAATGAAAAGTACATGAAGGGACATTATATCATGTGCATGCACACACGCACACATAAACACATAGAGAGATCATGTATTCCTCATTGTGAAGCCATGTCTGAGTTGACATTTAAATATGAGCAAATAGTGGTGGCATCCAAAAAAGCCAATGAAATCCTAAATGGCATTAACAGAGGGATTCAATCAAGATGACGTGAGGTACTAATATCACTCTATAAAGCCATAGTAAGACCACACCTAGAATATTGAATCCAGTTTTGGTCACCACACTGTAAAAAAGATGTTGAGACTCTACAAAGAGTGCAGAGAAGAGCAACACAGACGCTTAGGGGATTGGAGACTAAAACATGTGAAGAATGGTGGCAGGAACTGGGCATGGCTAGTCTAGTGAACAGAAGGACCAGGGGAGACTTGATAGCAGTCTTCCAACGCTTGGGGGGCTGTAACAGAGAGGAGGTGGTCAACCTATTTTCTAAAGCACCTGAAGGCCAGACCAGGAATTACGGACGAAAAGTGAACAAGGAGAGATTCAACCTAGAAATAAAGAGAAAGTTCCTGACAGTGAGAACAATCAGCCAATGGAACAGCTGCAGAAGTTGTGGGAGCTTTATCATTGGAGGCTTTCAAGAAGAGACTGGACTGCCATATGTCAGAAACGGTGTAGGGTGGGGGTTGAAGTAGATGTAGATGAAGTAGATGACCTACAAAGTCCCTTCCAACTCTGTTAATCCATAAGTGCTTAATGTAGTGGAAACTGAATTATTTGTAGAATACAGTCTGGGATAGGTAAAAACTTAACACTGTCAGTCCTAACCAAGGAGCTCAGAGCTGTTAAGGCAGCATCTAAATATACGGGCACTTCCTAGTAGAGTGGGTTTTTTTTGCAAAGTCAGAATATTTAGGTCTTAATAAGTTCAAAAATTCCATGTATCTGGGCAGCCGTTTGGTTATTGCTCTAAGGGCTCCTATTACTATTGGTTCAACCATTGATTTCTTCCTTCATAATCGCTTAACTTCAATTTGCAAATCAAGATTTTTTTTCCTAGCTGTTTCTCCTCAATTTGTGCATCACCTGGTATTGCAAACACCCCCCCACACACACACAGAATATGATATCAGGCATGTTGTGGCCCAGATGTCTATCTGTGCTACTATTATTTCAATTTTTATCCATCTTGGTGAATCAATTCTCGGCAACGAATAACTGATCAATATGAACCCCAAACAACCAATATATAAAATGAATACTGCCGCCAAGTTAAAACCTAATCTAATGAGCAAAGAACATCCCACAGGCTTCATCAATTTCTTCTCTCTTGTGTCTTTTCTTTCCTTCAGCTCAAATTGCCTTACAAATTGGTACCTCATCATTCGGTTTGCACTCATGTATTGTTGGTTTATTCAAGGGGACATACTAAGGAGAGAAAATGTGGGGGGGGGAACCTCCCGAATTCAGATGTGATCTTCTTTTCATGTTCTATCTCAAAATATCTCCTTCCAAAACTTTTATTGCATATTCCTCGCCTGTCCTTTTGAATCATTTCTGAGAATTTCTGAAATTTAGCAAGTCTTTGTTTTCCTGCTGTTTCTCCAATGACTTTATAGTTTAAAGAAAAGGAGTCTGCCTTCACTTTTATTAGGAGTGGCATGTTATGTGAAAATCAGCCATGTAAACTGTGAGATCAATGCACTGAAGGACCCCTTTATCCCAAGCGATATGCAAATCAAGGCACAATTTCCCCTTTAAAGAATCCACTTGATTTCTCTTTTCAGGCTACACCCACCCACACAAAGTTTGTGCACTTTCCTGAATTCTTTCCTCTCAATTCCCTCCATTCATTACAGGAAGCAAAAATGATCCCATGGCTGAATTTGGTGCCCTTGTTAGTGTTCCTTCAAGGTATTTTTTCCCCTCTTTAAAGAATTTACTTCCATATTCTCTTTTTGTATATAGAAGGTTTCATTGAAACACTTTTGTTTTCAGGAGTCCAGTCTCAAATACAATTGATGGAATCTGGAGGGGATGTGAGGAGACCTGGGGAGACCCTCCGTCTGTCCTGCCAAGCCTCTGGATTCACCCTCAGCAGCCACTGGATGAGCTGGGTGAGACAGGCTCCAGGGAAAGGCCTGGAATGGGTGGCCTTAATAGTTACAGGCTCATCTCCTTCCACTTCATACTCAGACAAAGTGAAGGGACGCTTCACCATCTCCAGGGACGATGCCAAAAGCCAGCTGTATCTGCAAATGAACAGCCTCAAACCGGAGGACACAGCTGTCTATTACTGTGTCAGAGACACAGTGAGAGGAAGTGAATCTGATGCCAAGCAAAAACCTTCTCTTCCTCTGTACAGCTTTCCAAATTGAATGAGAAACTTGCATTTGTGTATTTAAAGTGCAAAGGGGGAAGATAAATCTCCATATACAATATGGAACCTCAGATCTGACCTTCTAAGAAGCAGTGTGGAAGATGATTGACATTTCCATAGGTGAGAAGAAGGAATTCTCCAGGCGGTGGAACAAACTGGGTAGTTTGTAAAATAAGCCTTCTTATCTAATCCTAATGTAATCCACACTCACCCAATGGAAACAAATCATTGGTGTTGAAGAAGAGAATGATTATCCTAGAAAACGATTACAATAGTGGTACAGAACAGATTTTGATAAATGAAGTAGCAAAAGCATGGTACTTTAAAGGCTCTGACGATCCCAGCTAAGTTGCCTGATCGTCAGAGGCTTTTTTTTTTTTTAAAAGCAAAAAACAAAACAAAAATGCTTTTAAAAGAAAACAAAGGCCTCTGACAATCAGGCAACTGAGCTGGGATCGTCAGAGTCTTTTCAAAACATTTTTTTTTACAATCTCTTCGGCCGAAGAGGTTGTAGAAAAAAATGCTTTTAAAAGTAAAAAAAAAAGTTGGCTACGCCCACCCAGTCACATTACCCCCACCACCACCAAGCCACGCCCACAACACTTGTAGTAACAAATTTTACATTTCACCCCGGTATAAATCCTTCCATCCTCCACCATTCCCTCAGAACTGAAGAAGCTTCTTGGATGAGAATCCCAAAGCTGCTTTTTCAAAACGTTTTTGATGTTTTTTCTTTAAAGACGTTTCGCTTCTCATTCAAGAAGCTTCTTCAGCTCTGACTGGATGGTGGGGAAGGGAAGGATTTATCCTCCTTGCAGACAGCTGGACGTTTGCATTCTTTGAAGATGGCATTAAGGTCACCTGGAGGCTTCTCTGTGTCATCAGGGTCACCTGAGTGGTGCAAATGGGTGTGGACCCTGATGAGTTTATTCCTGTGTGAGAGACACAGTGGGGGGAAGTGAATCTGAAGCCATGCAAGGACCTTCCTTTCTTCAGAGCAGCTCTTCAACTTGCTTCAGCCCAAAAGGATGGATTAGTGAATGAGGATTCATCAAAATCCGGAGAGAATTTTGGACTCTTTTGTTCTGGGAATCCAATTAGAGAGTTTGTTGGAAGAAAATGAAAAGTGAAAAAAAAAATAGCTTGAAAACTCCATATAGATCCAAACTTCCATATAGATATTGAGGAAATATTAAGGAAGATGTCTTCCCTCCTCACTTTGGACACTAGGAGGCAGTGTTGTCACATGAAACTCCATGGCCTCTGGTATGGGTGGGGGATGGGATAGGGAATAAAACAAGAGTCATTAGATATTGTCTCATTTCTCAGACATTTATTATTATTATTATTATTATTATTATTATTATTGTTGTTGTTGTTGTTGTTGTTGTTGTTGTTGTTGTTGTTGTTTCCATAATAGTTCACTGAAAGCTCTCAGGAAAATTTCACATGTCAGGAGGTTATAATCCTTACCCTGAAGCTCAGAATTTTTATGAGGTATCATCGGTGTTTGTATCCAGAGGAATTTCTAGAATGTATAAAGATGCTACAGACCATTGCTGGAAATGAAAGCTAAACAAAGGGTCATTTTATCATGCACACACACACAGTATGTGTTCCTAATTGTGAAGCCATTTCTGAGTTGACAATTAAATATGAGCCAACAGTGTGTGGCGGAAGCCAAAAAAGCCAATTTCAATCCTTAATTGCATTAACAGAGGGATTCAATCAAGATCAAGTGAGGTACTAATACCACTCTATAAAACCTTAGTAAGACCACACCTAGAATACTGCATCCACTTTTGCTCACCACACTATAAAAAAAGATGTTGAGACTCTACAAAAATTGCAAAGAAGAGCAACAAAGACTGGAGACTAAAACATATGAAGAACGGTTGTAGGATCTGGGCACGGCTAGTCTAGTGAAGAGAAGGACCAGGGGAGACATGATAGCAGTCTTCCAATACTTGAGGGGCTGTCACAGAGAGGAAAAGGTCAATCTATTCTCAAAAGCACCTGAAGGCCAGATACAGAATTATGGATGGAAACTGAACAAGGAGAGATTCAACCTTGAAATAAAGAGAAATTTTCTGACAGTGAGAATAATCAACCAATGGAACAGCTTCAGAAGTTGTGGAAACTTTATGACTGGAGCCCTTTCAAAAAGTAAAATTGCATGTTCCTTGCCTCTCCCTTTCAATCACTTTGGGGAAGTAGTGAAATTTTGCAAGTCTTTCTTTTAATTATTCCAATATAAACCTGCCATTTCCGCTATGAATTTACAGTAAAAAATATCGAAAGAGACTTCCTTCACATTTATTAAGACTGGAATCTTTTGTGAAAGTCCCCCATTTATGGAGACTAGAAGGAAAAATGTGAGATGAATGCACTGAGGGGCACTTTTATCTGAAGCGATATGGAAATGAAGGCAAAATTTCCCCTTTAAAGGATCTACTTGATTTCTCTCTTTAGGCTACACCCACCCACACGAAGTTTGTGCACTTTCCTGAATTCTTTCCTCTCAATTTCCTTGATTCATTACAGGGAGCGAAAATGATCCCATGGCTGAATTTAGTGTCCTTGTTAGTGATCATTCAAGGTACTTTTTTCCCTCTTTAAAGAATTTCCTTCTATATTCTCTTTTTGTATATAGAAGGTTTCATTGAAATACTTTTGTTTTTAGGAGTCCAGTCTCAAGTACAGTTGGTGGAGTCCGGAGGGGATGTGAGAAGACCTGGGGAGTCCCTCCGTCTCTCCTGCCAAGCCTCTGGATTCACCTTCGGTGGCTACTGGATGCACTGGGTGAGACAAGCTCCAGGGAAAGGCCTGGAATGGGTGACAGCCATAGATACAGGATCATCTCCTTCCACTTACTACTCTGACAAAGTGAAGGGGCGCTTCACCATCTCCAGGGACAATGCCAAAAGCCAGCTGTATCTGCAAATGAACAGTCTCAAACCAGAGGACACAGCTGTCTATTACTGTGCCAGAGACACAGTGAGAGGAAGTGAATCTGATGCCAAGCAAAAACCTTCTCTTCCTCTGAGCAGCTTTCCAAATTGAATCAGAAAGTTGAATTTGTGTATTTAAAGTTAGAAACGGAAGATAAATCTCCATATATAATTTGGAACCTCAGATCTGACCTTCTAAGAAGCCGTGCGGGAGATGATTGACATTTTGATAAGTGAGAAGAAGGAACTCTCCAGGCTGTGGAACAAACTGGGTAGATTGTAAAAAAATGGCTTCTTAAGGTTAATCTGTTTTACTTTGGACACTAGCGGGCAGTGTTGTCACATGAAATTCCATGTCCTCTGCACTGGGTGGGGGATGGGGTAGGGAATAAAACAAGAGTTATTAGATATTGTCTCATTTCTCAGACATGTTATTATTATTATTATTATTATTATTATTATTATTATTATTATTATTATTATTATTATTATTGTTTCCATAATAGTTCACTGAAAGCTCTCAGGGAAATTTCACATGTCAGGAGGTTGTAATCCTTACCCTGAAGCTCAGAATTTTTATGAGGTATTTTTATGAGTGTTTGTATACAGAGGAAGTTTCTAGAATGTATAAAGATGCTACAGACCATTGCTGGAAATGAAAGCTAAACAAAGGGTCATTTTATCATGCACACACACACACACACACACACATACACACACACACACAGTATATGTTCCTCATTGTGAAGCCATTTCTGAGTTGACAAATATGAGCCAACAGTGTGTGGCGGCAGCCGAAAAAGACACTTTTAAACCTTAATTGCATTAACAAAGGGATTCAACCAAGATCACGTGAGGTACTAATCAGTGGTGGGTTTCAAAATTTTTTACTACCGGTTCTGTGGGTGTGGCTTGCTGGGCATGGCATGGCTTGGTGGGCGTGGCATGGCTTGGTGGGCGTGGCAGGGGAAGGATACTGTAAAATCTCCATTCCCACCCCACTCCAGGGGAAGGATACTGCAAAATCCCCATTTCCTCACGATCAGCTGGGACTTGGGAGGCAGAGAATAGATGGGAGTGGGACCAGTCAGAATTTTTACTACCGGTTCTCTGAACTACTCAAAATTTCCACTACCGGTTCTCCAGAACTGGTCAGAACCTGCTGAAACCCATCTCTGGTACTAATACCACACTATAAAGCCTTAGTAAGACCATACCTAGAATACTGCATCCAATTTTGGTCACCACACTGTGAAAAATATGTTGAGACTCTAGAAAAAGTGCAGAGAAGAGCAACAGAGTGGATTAGGGGACTGGAGGATAAAACATGAAGAACGGTTGCAGGAACTGGGCATAGCTAGTCTCGTGAAGAGAAGAGAAGGACCAGGGGAGACGTGATAGCTGTCTTCTGATATTTGAGGGTGTGCCATGGAGAGGAGAGGGTCAAGCTATTTTCCAAAGCACCTGAAGGCCAGATAAGGAATAAGGATGGAAACTGAAGAAAGAGAGATTCAACCTTGAAATAAAGAGAAATTTTGAAAACAATCAACCAATGGAACAGAAGTTGCCTTCGGAACTTTTGGGAGCCTCATCACTGGAGGCTTTCAAGAAGTGACTTGACTGCCATCTGTCAGAAATGGTGTAGGATCTCCTGCAGAGGTGGGTTTTAGCAGGTTCTGACCAGTTCTGGAGAACCGGTAGTGGGAATTTTGAGTAGTTCGGAGAACCGGTAAATACCACCTCTGTCTGGCCCCACCCCCATCTATTCTCTGCGTTCCCGAGTCCCAGCTGATCAGGAGGAAATGGGGATTTTGCAGTAACCTTCCCCTGGATTAGGGAGGGAATGGAGATTTTACAGTATCCTTCCCCTGGAGTGGGGAGTGAATGGAGATTTTACAGTATCCTTCCCCTGGAGTGGGGTGGGAATGGAGACTTTACAGTATCCTCCCCCTACCATGCCCAACAAGCCATGCCACACCCACCAAGCCATGCCATGCCCAACAAGCCACACCCACAGAATTGGTAGTAAAAAAAATTGAAATCCACAACTGGTCTCCAACTTGGGCAACGGGGGTTGAGTAGATGACCTACAAGGTGTTCTCCAACTCTGTTAAATTGTTAGTGCTTAATGTAAAGGAAACGGAGTTATTTGTAGAATACAGTCCGGGACTGGTAAACACTTAACTCTTCAAGTCCTAACCAAGGAGCTAAGATCTGTTAAGGCAGCATCTGAATATGTAGGCAGTTCCTAGTAGGGTAGTGTGTTTTGTGTTTTTTTTTTCAAAATCAGAATATTCAGGTCTTAATAAATTCAAAAATTCCATCTATATAGGTTCTTCCTCCATAATCGCTTAACTTCGATTTGCAAATCAATATTTTTTGTGTGTGTGTGTGTGTGTTTTTCTTAGCTATTACTCCTCAATTTGTGCATCGCCTGGTATTGCAATGTTAATGAACCAGACTTCTCCCACCCACAATTGGGATATCTCTTCAGGCACATTGTGGGCCAGATGTCTATCTGTACTACTATTATTTCAGTACCACCTGGTATTGCAACCCCCCATACACACACACACACACACACACACACACACACACACACACACAATATGATATCAGGCATGTTGTGGCCCAGATGTCTATCTGTACTATTATTATTGCTTAGCGCGCTTCATGCTTCCAGGAGCAAATATATATATATATTATTTCAATTTTTATCCATCTTTGTGAATCAACTCTCGGCAATGAATAACTGATCAATAGCAACCCCAAACAAGCAATATATAAAATGAATACTACCGCCAAGATAAAACCCAATCTAATGAGCAAAGAACATCCCACCGGCTTCATCAATTTCTTCTCTCTTGTGTCTTTTCTTTGATTCAACTCAAATTGTCTTACAAATTGGTGCCTCATCATTTGGTTTGCACTCACGTGTTGGGGGTTTCTTCAGGAGGACATACTAAGGGGAGAAAATCTGGGTGGGGGAAAAAATCTGCTGAATTCACATATGATCTTCTTTTCATGTTCTATCTCAAAATACTGTATCTCCTTGCATGTTCCTCACCTGTCCTTTTGAATATAAAGTTATTTATTTGTAGAAAAATAAGGTATAATAGATGAATATCTTCTCTGTCTTTCTTTTTTCTCATTCCAACTTTGACTTACCAATTGTGCCTCATCAAGCATTCGGGTTTTGGATCCTTTTCAAAAGGCCATGGAAAGGGGAGAAAATGTGGAGGGCTTTAACTGAATATAGATGTGCTCTTCCCTTCATGTTCTCTCTCCAACGTAGCCCTTTCAAAAAGTATAATTGCATGTTCCTTGCCTGTCCCTTTGAATTACTTCGGAGAAGCAGTAAAAATTTGCAAGTCTTTGTTTTAATTACTCTAATATAAACCTGCCATTTCTGCTATGAATGTACAGTAAAAAAAAAATGAGTCTACCTTCACTTTTATTAAGACTGGAATCTTTTGTGAAAGTCGCCCATGTATGGAGACTAGAAGGAAAAATGTGAGATGAATGAACTGAGGGGCACTTTTATCTGAAGCGATATGTAAATGAAGGCAAAATTTCCCCTTTAAAGGATCCACTTGATTTCTCTCTTTAGGCTACACCCACCCACACAAAGTTTCTTTACTTTCCTTAATTCTTTCCTCTCAATTTCCTTGATTCATTACAGGGAGCAAAAATGATCCCATGGCTGAATTTGGCATCCTTGTTGGTGCTCCTTCAAGGTAGTTTTTCCCCTCTTTAAAGAATTAACTTCATTTTTTTTCTTTTTGTATATAGAAGATTTGATTGAAACACTTTTGTTTATAGGAGTCCAGTCTCAAGTACAGCTGGTGGAGTCTGGAGGGGATGTGAGAAGACCTGAGGAGTCCCTCCGTCTCTCCTGCCAAGCCTCTGGATTCACCTTCAGCAGCTATAACATGGGCTGGGTGAGACAGGCTCCAGGGAAAGGCCTGGAATGGCTCGCCTACATAGGTAGAGGCTCATCTCCTTCCACTTACTACCCAGACAAAGTCAAGGGACGCTTCACCATCTCCAGGGACGATGCCAAAAGCCAGCTGTATCTGCAAATGAACAGCCTCAAACTGGAGGACACAGCTGTCTATTACTGTGCCAGAGACACAGTGAGAGGAAGTGAATCTGATGCCAAGCAAAAACCTCCTCTTCCTCTGAGTAGTTTTCCAAATTGAATGAGAAAGTTGAATCTGTGTATTTAAAGTGAGAAACAGAAGATAAATCTCCATATACAATATGGAACCTCAGATCTGACCTTCTAAGAAGGATAATCTTTCTAAATAATCAAACTGCCATATAGATATTTATTTATTTTATTTATTTGATTTGATTTCTATACCGCCCTACTCCCGAAGGACTCAGGGCGGTCACAGCCAAACAATAAAACACATACATACAAAATTTAAAAGTAGAATAAAATCAAATTAAATAATTTTGGCCCCGACAAATTTAAAACCCCAAACTTTTAAAACCAATTTAAAATTGAATGTATAAAATACTAAAAGATATTTAAAAATTAAAAATCTTTTATAAAAGAGGGAGAAAATTAGGCCAGGCCTGCCTGGTGAAATAGTAAGGTCTTTAAAGCGCGGCGGAAGGCGCGCAGATCCGGGATCCTCCGTATCTCTGGGGTGAGCTCGTTCCAGATAGTAGGTGCCCCCACAGAGAAGGCTCTCCCCCTGGGGGCCGCCAGTCGGCATTGTTTGGGTGACGGCACCCGGAGGAGCCCCTCTCTATGGGAGCGTACCGGCCAGTGGGAGGCTATTGGTGGTAGTAGGTGGTCCCGCAAGTACCCAGGTCCTAAGCCATGGAGTGCTTTAAAGGTGGTAACCAAAACCTTGAAGGGCACCCGGAAGACCACTGGGAGCCAGTGCAGCTCGCGCAGGAGGGGTGTTACATGGGAACGCCATGTCACTCCCATTACCACCCGCACAGCCACACTCTGCGACAGTTGGAGCCTCCGGGTGCTCCTCAAGGGGAGCCCCATGTAGAGAGCATTCCAATAGTCCAGGCGGGAGGTGACAAGGGCATGAGTGACTGTGCGTAACGAATCCTGATCCAGAAAGGGACGCAACTGGCAAATCAGGCGAACCTGATGAAAAATCCTCCCGGTCACGGCTGTCAAGTGCTCTTCTAAAGACAGCCGTGAATCCAGGAGGACGCCCAAGTTGCGAGCCCTCTCCGTGGGGGCCAATGATTCGCCCCAATAGTCAGTGATGGCGTCAACTGATTATATCGGGACGTCGGAAACCACAGCCACTCGGTCTTGGATGGGTTGAGCCTGAGCCTGTTCCTCCCCCTCAATATCATTGAGGTAATATTAAGGAAGATGTTTCCCCCTCCTCACTTTGGACACGAGGGGGCAGCGTTGTCACATGAAACTCCATGGCATCTGCACTGGGTGGGGGATGGGATGGGGAATAAAAGAAGTGTCATTAGATATAGTCTCATTTCTGGGACATGATTTTTTTATTGTTTCCATAATAGTTCACTGAAAAATCTGAGTAAAATTTCACATATAAGGCGGTTATAATCCTCACCTGAAAGCTCAGAATTTTTGATAAAATAATCAGAGTTTGTATCCAGAGGAAGTTTCTGGAATGTATAAAGGTGCTACAGACCTTTGCTGAAAATGAAAAGTACACGAAGGGACATTTTATTGTGTGCACGCACACATACACACGCTGAGACAATATATATTCCTCATTGTGAAGCCATGTCTAAGTTGACAATTAAATATGAGCCAACACTGTGTGGCAGCAGCCAAAAAAGACAGTTTTAAACCTTAATTGCATTAACAAAGGGATTCAACCAAGATCACGTGAGGTACTAATCAGTGGTGGGTTTCAAAAATTTTTACTACCCGTTCTGTTGGTGTGGCTTGGTGGGCATGGCATGGTTTGGTGGGCGTGGCATGGCTTGGTGGGCATGGCAGGGGAAAGATACTGTAAAATCTCCATTCCCACCCCACTCCGGGGGAAGGATACTGCAAAATCCCCATTTCCTCACGATCAGCTGGGACTTGGGAGGCAGAGAATAGATGGGGGTGGGACCAGTCAGAATTTTTACTACTGGTTCTCTGAACTACTCAAAATTTCCACTACCGGTTCTCCAGAACTGGTCAGAACCTGCTGAAACCCATCTCTGGTACTAATACCACACTATAAAGCCTTAGTAAGACCATACCTAGAATACTGCATCCAGTTTTGGTCACCACACTGTGAAAAATATGTTGAGACTCTAGAAAAAGTGCAGAGAAGAGCAACAGAGTGGATTAGGGGACTGGAGGATAAAACATGAAGAACGGTTGCAGGAACAGGGCATAGCTAGTCTCGTGAAGAGAAGAGAAGGACCAGGGGAGACGTGATAGCCGTCTTCCGATATTTGAGGGTGTGCCATGGAGAGGAGAGGGTCAAGCTATTTTCCAAAGCACCTGAAGGCCAGACAAGGAATAAGGATGGAAACTGAAGAAAGAGAGATTCAACCTTGAAATAAAGAGAAATTTTGAAAACAATCAACCAATGGAACAGAAGTTGCCTTCGGAACTTTTGGGAGCCTCATCACTGGAGGCTTTCAAGAAGTGACTTGACTGCCATCTGTCAGAAATGGTGTAGGATCTCCTGCAGAGGTGGGTTTTAGCAGGTTCTGACCAGTTCTGGAGAACCGGTAGTGGGAATTTTGAGTAGTTCGGACAACCGGTAAATACCACCTCTGACTGGCCCCACCCCCATCTATTCTCTGCGTTCCCGAGTCCCAGCTGATCAGGAAGAAATGGGGATTTTACAGTATCCTTCCCCTGGAGTGGGATGGGAATGGAGATTTTACAGTATCCTCCCCCACCATGCCCACCAAGCCATGCCACACCCACCAAGCCATGCCATGCCCAACAAGCCACACCCACAGAATTGGTAGTAAAAAAAAATTGAAATCCACCACTTAACACTTCAAGTCCTAACCAAGGAGCTAAGATCTGTTAAGGCAGCATCTGAATATATAGGCAGTTCCTAGTAATGTAGTGGGTTTTTTTGTTTTGTTTTGTTTTGTTTTGTTTTCAAAATCAGAATATTCAGGTCTTAATAAATGCAAAAATTCCATCTATATAGGTTCTTCCTCCATAATCGCTTAACTACAATTTGCAAATCAATATTTTTTTTTTTCTTAGCTATTACTCCTCAATTTGTGCATCGCCTGGTATTGCAATATTAATGAACCAGACTTCTCCCCACCACAATTGGGATATCTCTTCAGGCACATTGTGGGCCAGATGTCTATCTGTACTACTATTATTTCAATTTTTATCCATCTTGGTGAATCAACTCTCGGCAACGAATAACTGACCAATAGCAACCCCAAACAAGCAATATATAAAATGAATACTACCGCCAAGTTAAAACCCAATCTAATGAGCAAAGAACATCCCACAGGCTTGATCAATTTCTTCTCTCTTGTGTCTTTTCTTTGATTCAACTCAAATTGTCTTACAAATTGGTGCCTCATCATTTGGTTTGCACTCACGTGTTGGGGGTTTCGTCAGGAGGACATACTAAGGGGAGAAAATCTGGTTGTTGGAAAAATCTGCTGAATTCACATATGATCTTCTTTTCATGTTCTATCTCAAAATACTGTGTCTCCTTGCATGTTCCTCACCTGTCCTTTTGAATATAAAGTTATTTATTTGTAGAAAAATAAGGTATAATAGATGAATATCTTCTCTGTCTTTCCTTTTTCTCATTCCAAATTTGACTTACCAATTGTGCCTCATCAAGCATTTGGGTTTTGGGGTCCTTTTCAAAAGGCCATGGAAAGGGGAGAAAATGTGGAGGGCTTTAACTGAATATAGATGTGCTCTTCCCTTCATGTTCTCTCTCCAACGTAGCCCTTTCAAAATTATAATTGCATGTTCCTTGCCTGTCCCTTTGAATTACTTCGGAGAAGCAGTAAAAATTTGCAAGTCTTTGTTTTAATTACTCTAATATAAACCTGCCATTTCTGCTATGAATGTACAGTAAAAAAAAAATGAGTCTACCTTCACTTTTATTAAGACTGGAATCTTTTGTGAAAGTCGCCCATGTATGAAGACTAGAAGGAAAAATGTGAGATGAATGAACTGAGGGGCACTTTTATCAGAAGCGATATGTAAATGAAGGCAAAATTTCCCCTTTAAATGATTCATTTGATTTCTCTCTTTAGGCTACACCCACCCACACAAAGTTTCTGTACTTTCCTGAATTCTTTCCTCTCAATTTCCTTGATTCATTACAGGGAGCAAAAATGATCCCATGGTTGAATTTGGCATCCTTGTTGATACTCCTTCAAGGTAGTTTTTCCCCTCTTTAAAGAATTAACTTCATTTTTTTTCTTTTTGTATATAGAAGATTTGATTGAAACACTTTTGTTTATAGGAGTCCAGTCTCAAGTACAGCTGGTGGAGTCTGGAGGGGATGTGAGAGGACCTGGAGGGTCCCTCCGTCTCTCCTGCCAAGCCTCTGGATTCACCTTCAGCAGCTACTGGATGGTTTGGGTGAGACAGGCTCCAGGGAAAGGCCTGGAATGGCTCGCCTACATAGGTACAGGCTCATCTCCTTCCACTTACTACCCAGACAAAGTCAAGGGACGCTTCACCATCTCCAGGGACGATGCCAAAAGCCAGCTGTATCTGCAAATGAACAACCTCAAACTGGAGGACACAGCTGTCTATTACTGTGCCAGACGCACAGTGAGAGGAAGTGAATCTGATGCCAAGCAAAAACCTCCTCTTCCTCTGAGCAGATTTCCAAATTGAATGAGAAAGTTGAATCTGTGTATTTAAAGTGAGAAACGGAAGATAAAACTCCATATACAATATGGAACCTCAGATCTGACCTTCTAAGAAGGATAATCTTTCTAAATAATCAAACTGCCATATAGATATTGAGGTAATATTAAGGAAGATGACTCCCCTCCTCACTTTGGACACTAGGGGGCAGCATTGTCACATGAAACTCTATGGCATCTGCACTGGGTGGGGGATGGGATAGGGAATAAAAGAAGTGTCATTAGATATAGTCTCATTTCTGGGACATGATTTTTTTTTTTATTGTTTCCATAATAGTTCACTGAAAGCTCTGAGGAAAATTTCACATCTAAGGAGGTTATAATCCTCACCTGACAGCTCGGAATTTTTGATAAAATAATC